TCCAATATCGATATTAAAATTGCCCTCATTACTGGTTTATGGAAGAACCAATTTGTGTTTAAAATTTCATGAACCGGAATAGGAATAGCTATTTGATCTTAAGAAATGACATCAAATTAATATATAATACGAATGAGTAATGAAGGCTTTTAACCATAAATTGTCAATGGGGTATTCTTTGAAAACTGGACATGTTAATCTACTTCATTGTGATGTGACCAACAATTGCATTAAAACCCAGCCATAGGCCCTCGCTATGAAAATCGTGAGCTTCGTGCCGAGTGCTTGGTCAGCGTTCGGTAACGTTGGTGGAGCGGAATCTGCAGTTTCAGTCACTGTCTCAGTAGCAGTTTTCCATCTGCTGTTCCCAGCCCACGGCCGTTATTCCCAGCCGGCTGCCCCTCCCGCCACGTGACTTGCTGTCTGTGTTTTAGATGTGCAGAAGTTAGTCTCTGTTCCTGAGATTCTGTTCGTTAAGAGAATTGGCAGATTCGGGAGGAGGCGGAGTGGGGTCAAGTGGGTGCCTAGCATATGTGAGACTCTGAGTCTGACCCCTGGTACCATAGGGTCACTGAGCATCTCCAAGTGTGGCCCTGGTGGCCCCCCAGCACCACGGGATCCAGCATTGTCTGTGAGTCCCATGTCACCAGTCCCTCGGGTCCACAGCACCACTGGGGAGGGCCCTATGCCCTTGCCAAAGAATGGGCAGGTCATCCTCCGCTAGGCTCAAGGGTCCTTGGTGAGTTGGCCTGAGTCAACTGTTAGTTATCTCTGCTCCAGACCCACTTAGGGACCCTTTGTGGCTTACAGGCTAGGGGAAGGGCACCCATTCCCTGCTGTCCGGATCACAGCCTGTGGTGTATGCGCTCTCTCTCTCTCTCTCTCTCTCTCTCTCTCTCTCTCTCTCACACACACACACACACACACCCTTACCTCTTTCCCTCTCCCTGCTCTTTCTCTAACATTTTTCTAAATAAAACTTTTTTATCCCCCCTCCCCCCGTACGTATAGATCCAAAAATGTGTTCGCATCGAGAGAGAGAGTGTGGGAATTAGGGCTCCTGCCTGGCCTGTGGCCTCCCCTGGTTAGGTCTCCGGGCCATATGTGCTCCCTGAGCATGGCTAGGAGAGACCCCCGAGCACAGTTTGGGTGTGGCCCCCAAACCAACCAAATCATCAAAAAGTCATAAAAGAGGTAATACAGAGGTGAAGGCACTCGCCTGGCGTGCAGCCACCCCTGTCAGAGGTTCAGCACCCCCGTGGTCCCCTGAGCGCAGAGCTAGGCATGCCCCTTCCCAAGACAAGCTCCCACCCACTGTACTATCTCCTAGGCCTCATCTTGCGCTTGCATGCTCTCTCTCTGTCTCTCGCTTTCTCTCCCTCTCTTTCACTCCCTCCCTCCCTCCCCCTCTTCTCTCCCCCCTCTTCCTCTTCCCCTCTCTCTCTCTCTCTCTCTCTCTCTCTCTCTCTCTCTCTCTCTCTCTCTCTCTCAGCTTCTCTTCTGCAGTTTCCCTGCATGTCCCACATGCGATCCTGTCAGTCGAGAGCCAGGGAGATCAGCCCCTGGTCCAGCCAGGAGACCAAGAACGGCAACCGGGGGCACCTGGCCCGGGAACTAGGTCTGCAGAAACCATAAGCCAAAGACAGGGAAGGGGCTGCCGGCGACAGAGCTCAGGCCGGGCCGCTTTCTGCTGCACACATGCTGAAGAGAAGAGAATGCCAAACAGTTGAACAATGTTCGTTGTATTTAACAACGGGATCGATTGGAAACAAATCAAATTCCGATGCTCGATTAGTGAATGGGGCCCCGTCTGGCTCCATGCTGAGGGGATTTGGCCTCTCGTGACTGCGGTCTCCTGCGGGCAGTGCCGTGGCCTCTTGTCTTTCAGGTAGGCCTGATCAAGGGCCCATTCTTAGGGACACGAGGTCTGGGACCTGTTGACAAAAGTTTCAGACTAACTGGGGTAGAAGTGCTGTACAGGCTTTAGATGTTGATGTCAATTAGAGGGGCCCCTTCTCGTCCTGGGTGCCCCGATTCTAGGGCTGGGCACGTGGTACCTTCCTGTCTGCCACGCGTGTCCTGGCGTCCGTGCCTGCCCCGCAGGCGAGCGTCCCAGCCCTCTTCCCTGTGTCTTCTGCTCCCCGCGTCTGCTGCCTCCCTGCAGGGGCCTCTTCCGGATGCCGGGCTTGAAGTTGGGCCAGTCGCCAAGGGCAGTCAGGGTTTTCCGTTTTATTTATGACTCAGACGTTCAGAGCATAGCCTCGGCGTCTGCATCCCAAGAGTTACGCCGAGAGCAAACCTGTAACAGGGGCGATTCCTGGGGCGGCCAGGGTGGGGCAAGGGGCCAGAGAGAAAGGACCGTGGACAGGACATTTGCCTTACACGTGGCCAAACTGAGTTCGATTCCTGGCACCTCATATGTTCCCTCAAGCACAGCTAGGAGTGATCCCTGAGCACAGGGCCAGATGTACACCCTGCGCACTGCTAGGTGTGACCCCAAAACAACAATAACAAATCAGAATGTGCATGAGGGGACAACAGTAGAGGGCCTCGTCATATAACTTCTTTTCTTGTGTGTGTGGGGGGCGGGGCCTGGCCCATGCCTGGCAGTGCTCAGGGCTTGTTCCTGGCTCTGTGCTCAGGGATCACTCCTGGTAGGGCTCAGCGGGCACCATGGGGTTCTGGGGATTAAATATGGGTTAGCCACATGCTGGACCAGCACCCCAGCCGCCATATTATTACTCCAGCCCCCGGCCCCTTCCATTATTTAGATGAGAGAAGTGAATTTAAAAGTATCATGTTGAGGGGCTGGAGTGATAGCACATCGGGTAGGGCGTTTGCCTTGCACGCGGCCAACCCAGGTTCGATTCCCAGCATCCCATATGGTCCCCCGAGCACCGCCACGAGTAACTCCTGAGTGCAGAGCCAGGAGGAACCCCAGAGCATCGCCAGGTTTGACCCCAAAAGCAGCAAATAAATAAATAAAAGAATCATGTTGAATGATCACATTTGAAAATTACAATCGAAATCGTAGTTTTGATGGCCCGCCATCCGGAAGGTACATGGAGTACTTACGGCTTCCTGAGTGAGCGTTTCTCTCCCCTTGCCAAACTTCCTCACAGAGACTGAGTTGGCTCCGTGTAGGTAGTGCTTGGCTGTGAGGAAGCTCCTGGTCTCTGCCGCAGGTTATATCCGGGCCTGGGGGATGGTTTCACCTTCTGTCTTCCTGTCCCTGTGGCTGTTGTTTGGATGTGGGGAAGCTGCGGGGGTCCACACCACAGGTAGGGGTCATGTGTCAGGCTGACAGCGGAGATGCAGGCTCGCGTTGGCTGTGAGCTAAGGGAACGGAACCTAGGGCCTCATGCATACAGGGCGGGTCTGAATCCCTGTGCCAGGCCCCAGCTGAGTCTTGTCTGAGATCTACTGTGCCTTCCCCTTTGTGCGAATGTGAAGATCAGCCGTGGCCCGTGGCAGGCTAGGTCGTAGCTTCGCAGCGCAGTTCTGAGCGTTTCCGAACGGGCATTTCTGTCAGAACAGCTGGTTTGGATCAGGCTTTTATCTTTTGAGTCAGACTGTTTAGGGACTGCGCCTGACTCAGTGCTTGGGAACTTGCTTCTGGAGTTGTCGGGGGTCAGTGGGTTGCCAGGAGTGGGATGCTGGACTTCTGGGGGCTCCGGGGACCACGCAGGGTGCCGGGAGATCGAACCCAGGTGGGCTGCATGCAAGACGAGGGCCCCACCCGCGGAGCTGTCTCTCCAAGCGCTTCCTTTTCTTTGGCAAGTCTCTGGGACCCGCTGCCGAGCAGGCGAAGGATGCATCTGGCCACGGTGACCTCTCAGCAGGTCCAGACAGGGTCTGGAGTCACGGGCTACTTGGTGGAGTCAGTGCCGCCTCAGCCTGCCCGGAAGTGTGCAGAAATCCTATTTAACCTGGGCAGGAGCTGATCAGGATGGAGAATGATTCACATAGCTCTCCGGATCGTTCATGGTTGGCAGAATACTGACAGAATTCAGTCTTTCCCTGACGAGCCCACTCGGCTTCCAAGTTCTGTGAGAATTCTCCCGGTTTGGGACCTGCCGCTGGCGTCTCAGCCTGTGCCCCAGCCCCCACCAGGCCACGTGGCGACTGGTCCGTGTCAGGACTCCAGTCAGCTTCCAGAAAATAGGTCAGTAGACAAGAACGTCCCCGAAGGCCCCGAGTTTCATACACACTGGCGTGCACACACGGCGTGGAGAGAGGAGAAGGAGGCCCGGATCGGGGGGGACGAGGACCGCTCAGGGCAGGTTTCATCTAACATGCTTGATTAGACATCCAGGGGTCAGGCGGGGAAGTGGCAAGGTCAGCTCGGGTCTAGGTCCTCTTCCATGTCGGCGTTTTTGAGCAAATGAGGTAAAATAGATCACAGAGGCTGCAGGGTGGTTTTGATGTCTCTCTGGGAGGTTTTTCACGCTGAGGATGTGGCGGGTGGTAAAGCAGCCGCCTCCCATGTGTGGGGCTCTGGGTTCGCGCCCCGATGCCCGTTGCGGGAGGGGAGTGCTGCTCAGGTTATTGATGACCACGTGCCTGTCCTGAGCCCGGCCTTGAGTTGTTGGATGTGTGTCTTTCACCTGAATTCCAAAGAGCCCTTTGAGAAGACGCTGTTTGGGGTTTGGTTTTGGGGTGGGGGTGGGCAGACTCCTTGGGGGTGTGCGGGGGGGCCGTGGGTCTGACATTGCTGCTGGGGCCCCCCGAGTCGCAGCTGCTGGTGTTGGGGGAGAGGGAGAGATGAGGTGCCAGGGCCCAGACTCAGGCCTCCTGCACTCCAGCCCTGCAATCATCCCCTTTGTCCCCGCTAAAGAGACTGTTTCTGACCCTGATGTTGCACGAGGAAGCCGAGACTCGAGCGGTCGGGCTGCTGGCCGCCCCCAGCCATTAGCTGGAAGGTGGATGGACGGGAGACGCGGCTTCCGGGGCGCCTTGCCGTGGAGGCGCCGCTCACTGTCACTTCTCTCTCTTTTCAGGCTCTCGGGTTTTTTTGCACTGAATGTAGCCTAGACTCCTCCTCAAGGGCTTGTGTTGCCCCCAGCGTACTGTCGAAGGTAAGCCGGGGAAGTCGCGCCCCCTGGACCGGAGGCGGCCCGGGAGCCTCTGGCAAAAATAAAAAAAAGGGGGGGGGGACAGGGGACCGTGACCCCGCTTTGCGCTCTGCCAGCCCACTTGTGTCCTTGCTTCAGCAGCTCCTCACAAGGCCCGAAGCAAGAGCCAAGAGCGAGGCCTGGGCTGGATCCCAGTGCTGCACGGTCCCCGAGCACTGTCCAAGAGGCAGACGTAATGACAGAACAAAAGCTCGCCTCGTTGGGCCGCAGCTGCAGCCCAGCGGAGGAGCTCTCGGCCTCGGGCTGAGGCCCTGAGCCCCAGCTGGGAAATTCGCACCAGGAAGCGGGGCTCTCTCCTTGCCCCACACCCCGACCGAGGGAGGGACCCTGGTGGTGCTGGGGACCATGTGTGGTGGGTGTCGGGGACCCAACTGGAATTGGCTGCATGCGAGGCAGGCGCTGTAATCTTCGTGCATGCTCTCTCTCACGTGCTCTCTCTCTCGCTCTCTCGCTCTCTCTCACGCTCTTGCTCTCTTGTTCTCATGCTCTCTCTCTCTCTCTCTCTCTCTCTCTCTCTCTCTCTCTCTGAAGGCTGGATATTTCAAACACAGCTTGCGTTTCGCAAAGTTTAGAGCTTTGTAACAGTGGCCGCTGGTAGCCAGTTCCTATGCTGCCTGGACAGGGTTCCTCCCTCCCTCCCGCTCCTCTTTCCTTCCTTCCTTCCTTCCTTGTGCCTAGGATCGTCTTCATTTCCGTTTCCCCAGCGAGTTGCCTGGCACAGCAGGTTGAACAGGGAGCTTCCCCGGTTCTGTTCTGCGTCTTTGAGATTCACTGCCTTGAGGCTTACACATCACGAATAAATCCTCCCAAGAGTCTGAAAGGGCTGCATGAGGGAAGTCTTTGCCACTGGCCGTTACCAGGCCTGCCGGATCAGGGTCAGGGGACAGCAGCCCGGCATGCCACTGACCTTCAGAGAGGCTTCAGGACCGTTGTCACCCCCTGATCCCATGACCGTGACTTCCTCCCTCGCTGGCACTGGCAGACCCACAAACCTTGTCTGAGACTCCGGTGCCTGAAGCGTGCAGCCCTTTCTCCATAGAAACAGCCCCTTAACCAGTCGGTGGATTGACCAAAATAACAGTCATCCCTGGCCCTGGGGGCAGCGGAGCCGTTAGGGCAGACGCCTCGCTCGCACACAGCCCAGGTTCCATCCCTGGCACTGTAAGGTCCCCCGGCATCACGGGGTACAGCCCTGGGCACCTGCCCCCGCCCCGCACAGTGCCCTGCAGTGGCTCCCAGCCCCACAGGGCCTGAGCGGCACTGCGTCCTGGACTGCTGTCCGCATGGTCGGCAACACCGGGGAGAGCCCGAAGGATAAACAGGAAGGAAGCAAAGTCACCCCTCGGTCAGGCTGGGGTGCGGGTGACGGTTTCTGAGCTTCTAGTTCAGCCTCAGGGGTTCAAAGTTCATGCACAACTGCCTCAGCTCCCGGCCTGAGAGAAGCCTTCGCAGAGCCCAAACCCTTGGCCCGGAGTCTGGACCCCCACAGGAGGCCTGGAAATTCCACATCTCCCTCCCTCCCCCAGGTTACACTCTGTGTCTCTTCACCAAGAAGCTCACCAGAAATGACGTGGAGGGATGGTGGGACTCAGGGCAGGACACAGTTGTATACCCCTAGACACATGAGCAGCAGTGTGAGGGGCCTGTCACCAGATGTTTACGTCTTTGAGAGACCCAGTAATTGGCACACTTCCCCCTGGTGGACATCTGTACTGAGGAATAAAGTAAGGATCATGTCAGTGATGGTTCAGTGGATATGGTCCCCTGTACACCCCCAGGAGTGATTTCTGAGTGCAGAGTCAGGAGTAACCCCTGAGCATCGCCGAATGTGACCCCTCCCCTCAAAAAAGTCATGTCACTTTGTAGACCATAAATATTAATACAAAATTTTTTTTCTTTTTTTTTTATACTTTTTGGGTCACACCCAGCGATGCTCAGGGGTTATTCCTGGCTCTGCACTCAGGAATTACTCCTGGCGGTGCTTGGTGGACCATATGGGATGCCGGGGATCGAGCCCAGGTTGGCCTCATGAAAGGCAAATGCCCTACCCGCTGTGCTATCGCTCTGGCCCAATAAAATTTTTTTTTCTTTTTGGGTCACACCCGGTGATGCACAGGAGTTACTCCTGGTTCATGCACTCAGGAATTACTCCTGGCGGTGCTCGGGGGACCATATGGGATGCTGGGAATCGAACCTAGGTTGGCTGCATGCAAGGCACACGCCCTACGCGCTGTGCTATTGCTCCAGCCCCCCAATACAAAATTTTTGGTTGAAAATTTTTAAATAGAAGCCAGGGCGATAGTACAGCAGGAACTTGCCTTATACACGGCTGATCTGGGTTTGATTCCCAGCACCTCCTAAGGTCCCCAAACTCACCAGGAGTGATTCAGCCAGGTTGGTATGGTCAATAAAGAAAAGAAAAGAAAAACTTTCTGATTGGAAAAAAAGAATAGCTAATTTTAAAAAAGTAAGTCTTGCATTTGGGAGATGAGGATTTCAGATCCACTTCTAACAAAGTTGGGAATGTAACATCTGCAGACACATAGCTTTGATTTGGGGGTGTCCTCATCTGTATGAGGGCCACTGTCACCTTTGCCAAAACTGTACAATTATAGGTATCTTGAATCTTAATGTTTCAAGCCTTTTTCCCCCGGCTTTTGGGCCATGTCTGGCGATGCTCAGGGATTACTCCTGACTCTGCACTCGGGAACCGCTCCTGGTGGGCTCGGAAGACCATATGGGATGCTGGGGATCAAACCCAGGTTGACTGTGTGCAAGGCAAATGCCTTCCCTGCTGTTCTCTCCCTCCTGGCCATCAGTGTCTTAAATCATTTTTAACTCTCTTGTTCCCCTAAGATGGAGAAAATTTCCTACCTCTCTCCTTTCTTCCTTACCTGAGATAAATTTTTCTATGTGTGCACACAGAACACATATGTGTGAACATACTCATTCATGCATACATGTACGCTCCCCAGAGTCACTGTTTCACGGCATACACACACACACACACACACACACACACACACAACACACACACCCCACACACACACTCCCTGTATGGAATTTTATTTTAAATCTTGGCACATGCATACACCCTATGTGTGACAGGTTTTCATTTTAAATCTTTGAAAGCACAAATATACCCATTGCTTATATAATTTTCCCCCTTTTACCTATTTTAGGCAGTATTTGCGTGTTCCTGCAGAGTTTTGCACAAAGTCTGTTCCCATGCAAACCAATGAGGGAGAAGTGTCTGAAGAAAGCAGCTCCAAGGTCAGTGCGGAACTCAGGGTGTGAATGTTGCGAGGAGAAATGAAACGGTCCATGCTGTGGGGAGGAGAGTGGGTGTTTTATTCTAGGTGAGTTTAGACATCACATTGAAATTGGAACCTAACTTCCTGCCAAGAAGATTATTTTTCTTTTCAATATACATGTTTGTTATACCTGATGCCAAGTTTAAAATAGATTTTACTGAACTTAAAAGTTCATGATTCTCTTCAGAATCTTTTCAAATTTCACTCAGTTACGTACACATTATTTTTTTAATGAAAAAATTTTTTCAACTAAAGTAGAAAAGTAAAAACCATGTTGCTAGTATACAGTTAATAATTTTTCTCTATGTAGTATTGTAATTTATTTTGGGTGGGCCACAGGTAGTGCTCAGGGCTTGCTCCTGGCTCTGCTCAGACCCTAACGCAGTGCTGGGGACCTCACCGGGGCTGGCCTCCGGGAGGACGAGCCTCTTCGCCCTGTGTTGCCGTGTGGGGGGAAGGCAGATGCCACTTCCTGTCACCCCTGGGCCGGCCTCCTCACAGGCCCTGAGCAGCTGAGTTTGGTCGGGTCTTGTGCGCTGGCGGGACTCTCCCATCCCGGGAGATTTTCCAGCCAGTGTGATTGACCAACATACCTTGGACCGAAAGTGTTCGTTTCACTTGGCTTTTCTCTTTTGTTCTTGTCAGGTGAGGTATGGAAAAAAAAATACACGTTTATAGTCATTCTGTTCATTGTCGAATTTCACAAACACCGAAAAGGTGCAGGGAGCCTCTGTCTGCTGCTGTTCAGGGTCTCCTGTCCAGGGTTTCCTTTGGGACCTTCTGACACAGTTGTGAGAGGTCGCAGCCCACATGGACCCTGGAAAGGGCTTTAATTTGTGCTGATGTTACTTGATCAGAATAGTGAGATCTGGGGCTGGAGTGATCGTACAGTGGGGAGGGTGTTTGCCTTGCACGTGGCCAACCCGGGTTCGATTCCCAGCATCCCGTATGATCCCCCATGCACCACCAGGAGTGATTCTTGAGTGCAAAGCCAGGAGTAACCCCTGTGCATCGCCGGGTGTGACCCAAAAAGCAATAAATAAATAAATAAATAAATGAACAGTAAGGTCTTTTTGGAAAGAAGCGCTTCTTTGAGGAGGCCAACATTGAGGGGCTGAAGACATAGCACAGCAGGGAGGGCGTGTGCCTTGCACATGGCTCACCCAGATTTGATCCTCATATGGTCCCCCAAGCAGTGCCGAGAATAATTGCTGAGTGCAGAGACCAGGAGTAATCCCTGAGCCTCGCTGGGGGTGTCCCCCCAGTCCCCCCAAATAAAATCACTATCACTATCACCCCCTTGTTCACCGATTCGAGTGGGCCCAGTAAGTCTATTGTAGCCCGATGACATATTGGGGGCTCCTTCAGGATCAGGGAAATGAGGACCATTCATTGTTACTGTTTTTGACATATCGAGTACGCCACGGTTAGCTTGTCAGGCTCTGCTGTGCGGGCGGGATACTCTCGGTAGCTTTCCAGGCTCTCCGAGAGGGATGGAAGCTTTCGAGGCAACCTCTAATCACCTTTATAGGTTTTCCTAGTCAGGCATATAGGCGGGTATGATACTCTCAGTAGCCTGCCGGGTTCTCTGAGTGTGAGAACTAGAGAATAAACTTTCAGGAGCTTGGTTTTAGAGTCTCTGGATCCTGGCCGTTGATGGGATTACACAGCAGTTGGTGGGTGTAACTGTCTAGCTACTGGAGGGTGGAGGAGGCCCAGTCCCGAACCGAGCAGGCTTGGAGATCTCAGCCCCCGGTCCTGCACACCTGGGTTCCTCTGCCGGTTCCTCATCTAAGCGCATGGAGAGTGGTCTCAGCATGGTTTTGGTTGGGTCCCTGAGGTCTTCAGTTGTCGGGGCTCTGCTGAGGGCAGAGAAGGAAATTCAACCGCCCTCCTCCAAGGGGCTCCGATGAGGACAGCCAGGCGCGGGGGCAGGAGACTCTGCCTTGTAAATAGAAAAATAAATAAATAAAAATAAATATACCCTAAATAAAAAAGGTTTCCAAATAATTGGTGTGACCACTCCAGCCTCAAGGATGTGGCACTGTGGAGCTCAGTCACCTCCATGGCACCTGGTGCCGGCGTGAAGCCTGACTGTCCTGGGGAAAGCTACAGTCCTGACGGTGACATGGCACAGTGGGCTTCACTCCCCACACACTACCCTGTGTCATCTGGGCACAGGTCAGGTCCCCATCCCAGGAGAGGGGTCCCACCAACTCCATGCCCTGTTTTCTTGAAGGCTGGCAAGGACCAATAAGAAACGTGTGAGAAACTGTCCTGGCCCAAGGGTTGTGAGATGTGACAACCCACTGTCAGTATGATCTCCTGGACGAGATCCTGGCAGGAGAGAGGGACGGTGGGGACAAGTCCATGAGAAGCCAGTCAAGTGTGAGTCTTCACATGTTAGAACATGTCAGTGTTGGTTCATTACTTGTGACAAGGTACTAAGCTTAAATGTTCACGATACAAGACACCGGTTTAGAATGCTGAAGCTCCCCCCTGTAATTTTTAGGTTACTCTAAACCTGATCTAAAGCACAAAGGAACATATGTACATGGTTCACTTTCGAACAGCGCAGGGCTTAGGCAGGAAGGTGGCCACTCGAGGCCCGCGCGGTGGAGCCGTCTGCGGATAATTTCCAGCTACTCTATTCATCCTCGGACCCAGCCAGCCTCCAGTCGGGCTTGGTCAGCTCTGTGAATGGGAAACTGCAGGTAGAAAGAAATCCTTGGGGCTGGAGCGATAGTATAGCAGGGAGGGCGTTTGCCTTGCACACGGCTGACCCGGGTTCGATTCCCAGCATCCCATATGGTCTTCTGAGCACCACCAGGAGTAATTCCTGAGTGCAGAGCCAGGAGTAACCCCTGCGCATCACCGAGTATGACCCAAAAAGAAAAAATAAAAAATCTGTGTAGGGGCTTGAGAGATAGTCTCGGGCGGGTTTAAGGCACTCGCCTTGCTCCCAGACAGCCTGGTTTGATCCCTGGCACCAGCTGTGATTCCTTTAGCCCCTGAGTCCCTGAGTGCAGAGCCAGGAGTTAAGCTCTGAGCACCACTGGGAGTGGCCCCTCCTCACAGAAAAACAGAATATGACTAGCCAGTATGAAAAACTGAAAAGGGTAAAAAAGTGAAGAAAGAAAAAGAGGGTCATTGTGGTGTGGACAGTGACGGTCATATGTATGGACGGTGTGGTACAGCGTGATGCCCGTGTAACTGCAGCCTCTGGAGAAGAGGGAGCTGGGGCTGAAATACACCCCCCCCCCAAAAAAAATGACCCTCCATGTTTCAGAATTTGAGACTGTGAAGTAGTGCATCCAAGATAGTTGTGTCAGAAGAAACTCAAAGAGACCAGGGCAGAGCGCATACCGTTGACTGCTCGGCCAGTTCCCGGGAAAATCTTAGAAGCAGTGGGAAGGTAACACTATTAACAGAAGCACACCTAAGGAGTTTTCCATTAGAAATACTGCAAACAGGGTGGGTAGTACAGGCTTGCAGCAGACAGCTCTGGTTCGAGACCCGGCTCCTCACAGGGGCCCCAGGCCCTTCTAGTAGTGCCTCTGAGCGCAGATCCAGGAGTAATCCCTGAACATAGCAGGGTATGTTCAGAGAGAGAGAGACAGAGAGAGAGACAGAGAGAGAGACAAGAGAGAGACAGAGACAGAGATGGAGTGAGAGGAGAGAGTGGGGAGGGAAAGGTGGAGAGAGAAAGAGAGAGGAAAGAGACGAGAGGGAGAGAGGAGAAGAGGGAGGCAGAGAGAGAGAGAGGAGAGCACCAACAGGAAGACAGTGGAGCGGTATCTTTAGACCACTGGGTGTTGGGGTGTACTGGGGGTACCTTTCACAGCCAGTTAAGGTCTCTGAAGAGGGAAGGCTGGGGCTGAGGGCTGCTCTGTGGGCTGGCGTCAGGCTTTGCACAAGGAGGCCCGGGTTCATTCCACACCGCTGCGTAGGGCCCCCTGAGCACCGCCAGGAGCGACCTCCGAGCGGCCAGCTGGGATAGCCTCCGAGCACTGCCAGATGTGCCTCTCCCCACGCACAACAGGCTAAATTATGTTCCAGATGCACGAACTCCGCTGTCATTAATCACCAGTGTCCCGCGCAGCACAGGAAACGTTGAGGCAGAGCGGGAGGGAAGGGGCGGGGGAACACAGCCAGATGGAAACGTGAGTCGACCCCCGAGCACAGAGTCCAGGAAACGGAGACGACGCAGGTGAATAGATGAGTCCCTTAGCGTTAGTTAAGGGCTCTGAGCGGATGGACCGCTGCAGTGGGAACCTCCAGGTGGGGTCCGGAAGGAACAGCGCCGTGGCCTGTGGCCCGCCTGCGAGCACACGGTCTGTGTCAAAGTCACCCAGCGCCCGGCGCGGTTCTCACTGCTCTGCCCAATAATGCTGCTGGCTGCCCTCTCAGGCCACGCGTGACTCCCCCCAAACCTCAGCCTGGTGGGCGCATGACGAGACAGACATGGACCCGTGCAAAGATTTCTTTGGTAACAGAAAAAACACATCCATTACATTTTTTAAATTGGGGGCTGGAGCAATAGCACAGCGGGGAGGGCATTTGCCTTGCACGCAGCCGACCCGAGTTCGATTTCCAGCATCCCATAGGGTCTCCTGAGCACCTCCACGAGTAATTCCTGAGTGCAGAGCCAGGAGGAACCCCTGTGCATTGCCTGGTGTGACCTGAAAAGCAAAAAAAAAGAAAAAAATTTTAAATAGTATTAAAATGAAACCTTCTGTGCTCTTTTTTTTTTTTTTTTTTTTTTTTGCTTTTCGGGTCACAACTGGTGATGCTCAGGGGTCACTCCTGGCTTTGCATTCAGAAATCACTCCTGGCAGTGCTCAAGGGACCATATGGGATGCTGGGAATCGAACCCTGGTTGGCCGCGTGCGAGGCAAACAGCCTACCCGCTGTGCTATCACTCCAGTCCCAACCTTCTGTGCTTTGAAAATACTTTGT